TATTAATAAACAAATATAATATAATATATTAAACTAAATGCATTTTTAATAAGTTAATAAATTTTAAATTTTAAAAATTCTAAATGTTTTGTATTTTTATTAAAGCAATAATTTGCTCCAAATGTTATATATTCAATATTTCTTTCCCTTTCTATTAGTTTCACATAATAAACATGTATTATAGCACGTTTTTCATTTTAATCTATTGTAAATTGGCATTTAATTATTTTGTAACAAAATTACATCATTTGATTTAAATAAATAGCGATATTCACATATATATTTATATTTTTATCAAGTAGTATTATTCAGACTTTGCTTTTTATCACAAATTAAATATAAATTATTATCAAGTGCGGCCAATTTGATTTGCCAGAACGTCAACAACAACACGTAGAACAACAACAGCGACAGCACTTGGCGCAAACAAAAACAGAAAACCGCTTAGTAATGCCTTTAAAAATATGGCAACACGTAAGCGGCGCAAAATGGAACTCGCCCGCCACCCCCAGACTCTCTTACGCTCTCTTCCTCACTCTAACAGCGCGCTGCAGCGCATTTTGTTTTCACACTCAATTCGGAGAAACAGCAACGACAACGACAACAACAACGAAAGTGAAAAACCGTTTTTCTTCTGCTGCTCACAGCTGCTGCTGGCGTTGCCTCTATTTCTGCTGCTTCTGCTACTGTTATTCAAAGAGCAAATGCAACTAAGTTGAGCGCGCGTTCATTCACATTGCATATACACACACACAGAGTGACACACGCACACAGAGCAGACGGCGTGTGGCCTGATGTCGTAACATAGACAGAAAAGACAAAGAGAGACCACTGAGTGCGCGTGTAAGCACTGCGGCTGCTGTGCATGCGTGCTCTCTCTCTCTCTCTCTCTCTCTCTCTACCTCTCTTAGCGCCATTCTCTCTTTGATATTTTAATTTACCTGTCGCACTGACAACTGCTGATTCTGCTGTTGCGGCGGCTGCTGCTACTGCGGTTGCTTCTTCTTCTTCGTCTCGTTTTTACTTGTACTGCACGACCGCGCCTCCTGTCTGAGCAGACACACACACGCACAGACACTCTCACGCACGTACGCACACACAATAAATTCTTTTGTGTCAAAA